TTTGGTACACAGTATAGTAATGGTATGTTGTTAATATTTTGTAGTGGTAACTTGTTATTTTTGCAAAAGTCAATGTGTCTTTTTATTATGTCATTAGCACTTTCTTCTTTATATAAATTATATGTTTCATTTTCATTTAGAACTTCGTTTTTCTTATTAGATGTAATCCCTAATTCTTTGATTATTGTTTGTGTGTAGAATTTTTTACAAATAATAGCGAAGTTATTACTTGCTTTATCAAGTGGACAAATTACAAATTGATTTTCGAGGTTTTTTATGTATTTATTGTAATTTTGTTCGTTTGGGTCTTGTTTGCTTCTCTAGTCTGGTTTTATAAAGAAGTGGTTTGAATCTAAGTTTTTTTTTAGAAGAAAAGTTTTTATGTTTTTAAGTTCTTCAAGTTTGAGTTTGTACTTTTTGATGTAAGTAATCATAATGAGTTGAACCGTTGACTGGATCCAATCTATTATTTCTCTTTTACTGGCGTTGTTAGGTATCCTGTATTTAGTACCTTTTTTCATTATGGATTTCAAATGTTTGTCTTCAATTATTTCTAGGTTTCCAGTAATGTTATGTCCATGATTGTTATCAATATATTGTGCCATCTGTAATTCTTTACACTTACATTTTTGAGTAAGAATTTGATTTATTTCGTTGTTTGTACCAAGTTTAGCAAATATGGAGTTGTAATTAAAAATTTGCATAGAAATTGGATTTTTGTATTTATATATTAGGTCGGTGCAAAAGTTTTGTCAGTTTTTTCAATCCATCGGCAAACACGTTAGAATGGAGATAAACAAACCCTTTGAAATGTATCCTATGCAGAATTTCTTTTTCTTTCCAGCTGCTAAACTGCCGTTGCGTTTCGTTGCGAGAGTGACGAGATATTTGCTGTAAATTACAACTACTCGTTTTTACCATGTCCAACTTTCGCTAATTTTCAAAATTTTTGTATGAGACTTTTGGAGGAGCTCTAATAACCAGCAAATAGGGCAAACCTTTTGCCAACAGAATCAATTTTTTGTAGCCTTACGCTTGTCTTCCAGAGTTTCTACGATTTATTTTTCTAAGTGACCAAATTTTATATTCAGCCTATTTTAAGCTCATAAAACATAAAATATTGAACACTTCAGTCACCATTCGATGCAACTTTTTCTCCTCTTTCTAACACATGTCTTTTTTGTCGAGACAGGCGAAATTTGTGGGTAAAATCGCAGTATTTCTCAATTTCAGGAGTGCGCACTGACGTAAACTATGTTTCAAAATCTTCATGTTTTGCAGCGAAAATCGCTCAATCACTTTGTAATGATAGCGGTAGTAATAACCGAGTCTTGTAATCTCAGTTTTCTGTAGTTTTTGCAGTGTTTGATGCAACAACAGGTTATGCGATTTTTCCAAAACACAAAACTTTTGGAAAAATGTTTAGCAAAATTCTGAAAAAGCAGCTGAAAAAAAGAAAAAAATTGCATGAGTTGGCAAAAGGTTTGCCCTATCTGATGGTTGTTGGAGCTCCTCCAAAAGTCTCATACAAAAAAATTTGAAAATTAGCGAAAGTTGGACATGGTAAAAACGAGTGGTTGTAATTTCCAGGAAATATCTTGTCACTCTTGCAATGAAACGCAACGGCAGTTTAGCAGCTGGAAAGAGGAAGAAATTCTGTATGGGATACATTTTAAAGCGTTTGTTTATCTCCATTCTAACGTGTTTGCCGATGGATTCAAAAAAACTGACAAAACTTTTGCACCGACCTAATACATGTTTGCATGGATTGTATTAGGTTGTAACAAAATTAATGCAGGTTTTGAATTCCAACCGCAATAAGTCATATATTTCTCATTTCTAACTAGGTTGCAAAGTACCATTCGATAGAGCAAAGCAAGCTCTACAAGAAGGCTGTCTTGCTCTAGCAACAACTCTAATCCACCACGAGTTTCGAGCAAAAAACTAAAAAGATTCAACTGTCCGAAAAATTGAGAAAAATCGTAACTCAGTTCATAAAAAACCTACAAAAATTCTAACTTACTCACGTAATCACTATTCACATAAGATATCTATATACGCCTTTGCCGTATTTTTTTCTTTGTTAGAAATCAAGAAAACGGAAATTTTCGTGCGTTTGTCAAAGTGATGCTGTGCCGTTCCCACATACGTAGTTGTATACTACAAACCTGTAGAAGTATAAACGTGAATTTCCAGCTCTCTACAAGCTTTAGTTCTCGAAAAATATCGAATACAGTTTTCGCTAGTCATGTGGTCCAAGCTAAAATTCAAATTTCTCGAGAACTAAAGCTTGTAGAGAGCTGAAAATTTACGTTTCTACTTCTACAGATTTGTAATATACAATTACTCATGTGGGAACGGCACAGCAACACTTTGGCAAATGCACGAAAATTTCCGTTTACTTGATATCTAACAGAGAAAAAAATACGGCAAAGGCGTATATAGATGTCTTATGCGAATAGTATTTACGTGAGCAAGTTAGAATTTTTGTAGGTTTTTTATGAACTAAGTTACGATTTTTCTCGATTTTTCGGGCAGTTGAATCTTTTTAGTTTTTGGCTCGAAACTCGTAGTGGATCAGAGTTGTTGCTAGAGCAAGATGGCCTTCTTGTAGAGCTTGCTTTGCTCTATCGAATGGTACTTTGCAACCTAGTTAGAAATGAGAATCGTATGACTTATTGCGGTTGGAATTCAAAACCTGCATTAATTTTGTTACAACCTAATAATTTATTTTGCTATTTTTGAGAATGTTTTTTATGTATTAGGTTATCCGGAAATTAATGTCCGTTTTGAATTTCAACGCAATAAGTCACACATTTTTCATTTCTGAATAGGCTTCAAGATACCATTCGATAGAGCAAAGCAAGCTCTACAAAATGGCTGTCTTGCTTTAGCGACAGCTCTGACCCATCTCGAGTTTCGAGTCAAAAACTAAAAAGACTCAGCAGCCTGAAAAAAAATGTAACTCAGTTCATAAAAATCCTACAAAAATTTTTACTTGCTCACGTAAACACTATCCACATAAAACACAAACTATATACGCCTTTGCCGTATTTTTTTCTCTGTTAGAAATCAAAAAAAAACGGAAATTGTCGTGCGTTTGCCAAAGTGATGCTGCGCCGTTCCCACATAAGTAGTTGTATACTATAAACCTGTAGAAGTATAATTTTCCAGAATTTCCAGCTCTTAACAAGCTTTAGTTCTCGAGAAATTTGAATTTTAGCTTGGACCACTCGACTAGGGAAAACTGTATTTGATATTTCTCGAGAACTAAAGCTTGCAGAGAGCTGGAAATTTACGTTTGTACTTCTACAGGTTTGTAGTATACATCTACTTATGTGGGGACGACACAGCACCACTTTGGCAAAAACATAGAAATTTTTGTCTTCTTGATTTACAACAGAGGAAAAATACGGCAACGGCGTACATATATGTCTTATGTGGATAGTGTTTACGTGAGCAAGTTAGAAGTTCTGTAGGATTCTTTTGAATTAAGTTATGATTTTTCTCGATTTTTCAGGCAGTTGAATCTTTTTAGTTTTTGGCTCGGGACTCGAGATGGCTCAGAGCTGTCGCTAAAGCAAGACTGCCATCTTGTAGAGCCCGCTTTGCTCTATCGAATGGTATCTTGAAGCCTATTCAGAAATAAAAAATGTGCGAATTATGGCGGTTAAAAACGAAAACGGACATTTTTCCGGACAACCTAATAATTACTAATAATTTTACTCAGGTTGATTTCGTCTAGTATATTATGGAAACGTTGATATTGTTATAATTAATATTTTGTTTTTCTTTTTTTGTTGCAACTGAACATGAATTTGCAAAGTATACTAAGAGTAGTTATTTTTATTTATTTTTATATTAGGTTGTCCCAAAAGTTTTGTCGGTTTTTTTCATCGCTCACCAAACCTCATCAACCTCAGTCAGTTCTCTTCGTCGTGTCATGACGATCACAATGATATGTAATGTTGCAGGGTTTCGTCGAGACCCCGCGGAGATCTACGACCAGAGCCAAATGCCCCGTCGGCTCTGGTCTGTCTCCGCTGCTCGTCTGCGTCCCCGCGCGCTGCGCGCTACCTCACTACCCCGAACGCGGGGCGCGGGGCATTTGGCTCTGGTACTCTTTTCTTCGCTGTTTCAAATCCAATTTTGCAAGCTATATATCATTTTGAAGCTCTTGATCTCTTTTCACGCTAACAACGTCCCAGAACCACATTTTCTGATTTGATCGAGAAATCTGGCAAAAACATTGTTTTTGAAAATCTCTTGTTTTTCTCCTAGTTTAACTCTTTTCACGCCGTTTTTTCGTGCATTCTAGAAATCTTGCTTCTGTTCATAATGCCTCAGACAATCGACGGGACCCCTCCGCCGGACAGTCCGAAACTGCCAGAGTCGCGCCGGACCCAGTTGACCAATGAGAGAGGGGCAAATGGGCGGTCCATCGCGGTGACATCACTGGCAGGCAAGTGGGAGGCTTCTCCGGCCCTGCTGCAAAGGTCCGCCATTTCTCTGGCGCGACTCTGCCAGATTTGGCGGACTCCGCGCCGGAGAAATTTGCCCAGCGCGAGTCCGCCAAATCTGGCAGAGTCGCGCCGGAGAAAATGGGAGGGGTCCGGAGCAGAAATGGGAGGCCTCCGGAGCAGAAAATGGGAGGTATCCGGAGCAGAAAATGGGAGGTATCCGGAGCAGAAAATGGGAGGTATCCGGAGCAGAAAATGGGAGGTATCCGGAGCAGAAATGGGAGGGCCCCGGAGCAGGCTGCGTATCGATTTGGCGCGTAGCAAGCAAACGTCTAACTCCACGGTGATGAGTCCTCTGTTTACGCTCTTTCTCCATATTTTAGTCGTCGTTTCTTTGTTTTTGTTGTTTTTCCGCGTTTCTTTACCATTTTTTTCTTTTCCGCGTTGCTCTTCGTCGCGTTGGCGTTTATGTTGTTGTAAGTTCCTCGTTTTCAGGTTTACGTTTCAAATTTTCGTGCGGTTGCACTCAATCACCTTCAGTGTCAGCTTAAGCTCAAAATCTGCCTCCAGGCGAGTTGTTTCTTGAATGTCGCACTTTTATGTTATGTTTTTTTTTGAATTCAATTATTCTCTGTTCTTCTTCAATGGCTCCATGCTGCTGTGTTACCGTGTGAAATTGAGTTCTGGTCTTATGAAATCACAATTTTAGTTGCTGATGCTGGCGGTAATCATACACTTCCCGAATCTTCCATCGTTCTTAATGGCAATGCTAAGGACGATGGCAGCATTGTTAGCTACCAGTGGACAAGTCTCGTAAGGCTGCTAGTTTCCGAAAGTCTTGATTTTTAAGACTTGATCAGTCAGATGTTTTCAGATACATCGACGCATCCTCATGTTCTTTGAAATTTTCGTACGCGCAAGATAAAACACCAGATGGTTGTGCTCTTTTGTGTGACAACGATGCTGTTCGGCAAGAGTATTCTGAGCTCAGATCTCAGCTAAAACCGGGAAAAACCTCACGAAGAGAACCAAATCTCCTTCGAAGGGTGAGCTCATTCTATAAGTTAAAGACAGAACTATTCAACTTAATGTTTCAGAAAACCACTGGACAGTCCAATTTTTATATGTTGGGTCGTGCAACTAGAGCAGTGGAGATGACGCGAGGTATCTTATCACAATGAATGTTAATGTCTACAATTCCGAATTTTCTAGGTGGCCGAGAGGGAAATAATGCGTTTCGCAGACTGAGTGGGAGTCAGGAAAAGATCTCGTAATGAATGGAATGAGTTATAAAAAATTAGTCAAGGTGTCTAAGGAACCAAATGTCTCATCTGGTGAGTGCATCAACCATTTATTCTTTTTTTCTGGTTCAATATCATCACCCGTCCTTTTTGGGTCTTAAATATCCCTGTTAAGCCGTCAATCTTAATGTGAACTTCATGGACGGCATGGTGGTCGTAGCCGCAAGGATGGGTTCGCTGGATGTGGCCAGTGCTTTTGCTGAAGGACCCGCAAGTTCAAATGGCCACGAAAGATCAAAAAAGCTGGCGCTTGGATGTTTTAGTTCAATCCTTCAAGTCGTAGGGAAGATGGCATCGGATTTGCATGGATGCTAACTTCACGTTCTCGTTAATTCTGACAATATTTTTGTACTTGTGGTAGCACTTACCTATTTAAAATATCATTCTATCTATTTTTTCTACTTTTGATATTGCTTTTTCTGGAAATAGAGCTTGTCCAGATGCTGTACGGATCGCATTTTGATAATGGAACACTAATCAAAGTTAGCCACTCTTCAGAGTTGACAATTACAGATAGCTTGTTCTCTTGGGAACCTCGAAATCGCTGAAATCCTAATCGCCCATGGTGCTCTCATCATGGCAAAAGATCACAAGAAACGTGCAGCTTTATCGCATGCTATCATTAACGGACAAGAACATTGCGCGGCTATGTTACTGGCAAAAGGAGCTGACTTTCTCAAGGTAACAAATACATATTCAAATTGGAATTGCTAGTAACGCCATGTTCTAGGGTGATTCTTCCAACAACACACCTGCACACTATGCTGCTGCTTACGGTTGGCTAGAATGTCTAAAGCTTCTGACTAGTGTTGATCCGAGTTGCCTCAAGCAAGAGAATGATTGGAAGCTAACACCACTATCCATTGCTTACCTTAAAGGTATTGAGCTGGAGAAACCAAATATAGTCCAAGTGTAGCCTTATTAGTATAGGCCATTATGGAATTGTGCAATGGCTTCTGGACGAGATGTCCGAATATGTGGATATTAATGGGAAGGATATGGAAGGTGTGACGCTGTTGTCATCATTACTGCGTTATACTGACGAAGATGCGCAAAGCGAACTTCTTGAGCAGAACAGTACTTACTGTCCAGGTAGAGATTCAGTTTCATAATCAGGGCCAGATGCGAATCCTTAGCGCATAAAATTAGGTCGACACAAAAGAAGAACATGTCGTACACGCAGATCTCTGAAGCTCATAAATAATTTTGTTATAGTGGAAAAGCATTATTTGAAAAGGCGTAACAAAAATTATCGCGTACGCTTCACTTACGAGATTAATCAAACTCATCGTGGTATGATTTTTTGCTGCCGTCATCGTAAGTATTAGATTTCAATGATGCGAAAATAATGTGAAACAAAAGCTGGACAAACTTAAAGAATAGGTTTAGGTTTGAAATCTTTTTGATATAACAAAACCAGAATTGAATCATGAATCAGTACATCACATGTCATCATTTAGCTCAAAATGGTTGGATTGTTTTTCACTTCATCTATTTTTCTCCAAAAGAATTTCGTAATCTCTCAAAGACAGAGAGGACTGATGAGTGTATTGCCTTCAGTTATATCTGCCTCGTTCTTGTGCAATTTCACCATTAATGGTATTCTGCAGAGGTGCTGACTGTTCGATCGCTGATAGTTTGGGCAACGATGTAATGCATGTTTTCGCTGGAATCAATGTTCGGCTACGAGATCCCAGTGAAGATTCGGAAAAGGGAATGCTAGAAAGTGAATATCAAGCATGTTTCGAAGAGATCATGAAGCATCGAAATTTTGAAAAATTTGAAATAAATGTCTTATCTCTTCGTTCTTTCTTCTATCTTCTATCCACAAACGCTAGGGGTGAGAGGGAGGGGGTAGAGTACGGGGTAAGGGTCGCTCTAAACTCCTACCCGGGGGGGGGGGGGTCTATTCGGCTTATTTGGGTGGGGTTTAGAGGCAAAATTGGGGTTTGTAGCTTGAAGGCAGCGTCCAGGCAAGTCTGGACCTATGGGGATTTTACATGGAAAGTACTTTTGGGGCCCTAACTAAGCCACTACCCAACCGGCAGCTCAAGTAGTGCTCTAACGCCTGAGATATTCTGCTCGAAACTGGACCCCGCGACCGTGTTTCGCATGGATTCATGGCGCAAAGCGTGGATCCTGGCGCGAAACTGCCATGAGTCCATGCGAATACGTTCGCGGAGGGTCTGTTTCGAGGGGAATATCTCCGCCATTAGAGCACTACCTGAACTGCTGCTTCGGCAGTGCCTTAGTTAGGGCCCCAAAAGTACTTTCCATGTAAAAGCCCCATAGGTCCAGATCTGCCTGGAAGCTGCCTTTGATTAGGGCTAATTACAGTATGCCGCGGCAGACTTGCGGAGCACAAAATCGGGGGGCTCCGGAGCAGAAAATGGGAGGTATCCGGAGCAGAAAATGGGGGGTCTCCGGAGCAGAAAATGGGAGGTATCCGGAGCAGAAAATGGGAGGTATCCGGAGCAGAAATGGGAGGTCTCCGCCGGAGAAATGGGAGGGCTCCGCCGGACAAATGGGAGACTCGCCGCTGGGGAAACGCCGCGACCCTGCCATTTCTCCGGCGGAGGGGTCCTATCCGTTGCCTGAGGCAGACAACCATCCAGCCCTCACCTCTTCGATTATGGTGGAATTTTTTGCGAAAAATCGTAAAAAGTGCGTTTTTCTTTGCCTTGTTCTGTTTCATTGCTTTCGCATCGACTTTTTTCCAGCTTGGGCGATTATTGCTCAGAACAATAAGCGCAACAATCCAGACAACGTCCCAGGAAACAGGAACGTCAAAGCGCGGGTAAAAATTCAAAGGACGCATCAAAAATCAAAACCCCGTGCTGCGAATTGCTGGTCCTGGAGCGAAAACTTGCACTTTGAAAAGCGGAAAAATGAAAGATTTCAAACCTTATTGCAGCGTTTTTATCCGGTTTACAGCGGTTTCTTTTGCTTTTTATATCTGTTTTACGTCATTTTCTCTTCTCTGATTTTCTTCAAACAACCTTCACTATTTATGACGTCAGATGTTCAAACAACCTTCACTTTTGGTCCCCTGTCTCTAGACTATCGAAGGTATGGGCTGTTCCTAACTGCATCGGTCGCTCATGCGTCAATTAGCGACGGCGTGATATGACGCACGCGAATGCTGTGCGTTGAGGAAGAATTATTTACTATCATTATTATTTATTGCTTGCATTAGTTTTTATCAATGAGCATAACTCGAGCTTCTTTCGCTTTCACATGGAATTATTTCCATGGCTCCTCCCCAACCCCACAAGAACGATCTCATCTCTGCTTTCTTCACCAAAAACAATTTCCAGCTTGTCATTTGCCGGCCCCCCGTAGTCAATTCGAGTGATGTGATAGTCAATAAAGAAAGCCGCTCAACATTGTTTTCTATCTATAGCCACACTAGGTGTGATTTGATTATCACACATTTCGCGTGATCAACATCAATTGTGAAAGTCCATCGTTGTTTATAAGTATGAACCATGATATGTAAGTGAATGGTGTTCAATATAATATTGCTGGATTTGCTTTTGTGCGCTGACATTTGATGTGCAGTTTTGCTTTCGCGCAACTCTGTCGTGAATCTATGGCTGACGGAGAGCTCATAGCGCCTATCGGATCACATCGCTCGCGGTAATCTATCTAATCTCCATGAAACTCGGAAAAAATCTGTAAAAGAGTAACACTCCACATTGCAATTTTTCTTGTAAGAAAACAAGAATAAGTATACCTATGTGTGCATATAGTGTATGTGCATTGCGCCTCATACCTCACCTACATCGCAGAGAAGGTAATACACAACCGAATATTCAAAAACGATGCTGCGTAAGCATGAAAAAAATAAAAAACTACTTTTGTGCATAATGATAAACAAAGGCTGAAAGGAATTAACATGACATTGGCTTCAGCATGTAGGAGGAGAGGACACAGCGTGATTTATGGAGGTCAATAAGTTAAGCGTGCATAACTTTTCCCTAAACATCTTGTGCATCAGTTAGCCAGCCTATTACTCCCTGTGCAGCAGCTGTTAGTTCACATGTCCTACGATTTGTACGCAAACATTGTAGCAGAAGATCCACCGAAAGTTCCCGACGACGTGCGCTGCAAATTTACTTTGTGGCTGTGGGTGATAATTCTCATGAATTACTGGATCTATAAACATGCAAATAATTAAGCTCTGCACACTGCATTGAATGAGCAGCAGACACATATATGCTACGAACTAGAACCTAGAGGGTAGTTTGCCAATTTAAGCCCATCATTTTTTTCTTGGTTTTTAGTCATTCAATGCAGTGTGCATTCATTGTACTAGCAGTAAGATACGATTGGGATAAATCAAGATAACAAACATTGATATCAGACTGGTTCAAAAGTAATGCGCGTTTTGTGAGTTTTCTTGACGTGCTATAACTTTCTAATCCACATTTCTCAGGGCGGTCAAAATCATGAGAGGCACCAAACCTTTCTTAATACAGCGGAGCCAATTTGTTACGCTAATACGCAGCTTATCTTTGAAAAGCTGTTGCCCTTTTTCGCTGTTGCAGTTTTTGCTCAAAGCGTTCCCTCCTTGTTTTTCACGTTTTCGTATTGTTGTTCCGCAGTGCATTTGCATCAGGGAGCATTTGAAAAATCATAGTTTTTCTACTTTTAGTGCAACTGTGTTGGTAAATGATTTTTTAGTTTTCTCAAGAAAAATAACCTGAAGACACTCCCAATACTGGTGCTGCTACAGCTAAGATTCTCTGAGCCTATTAAGATTCTAAGGATTTCTGCAAATAATTTCCATGGTGTTATCCAATTTTCATAAATCTTAATGCCATAAACATGCATCTGAGCGCTGAGTGAGATTTAAGTAATTTTTTCAAATTATTCGGCAGGTTAAGTGTGTAACAAAGGGAAAGCATTGGGGAAGAAACGCTTTCTTGCTGTACTCCACTAGTACAACTAATTCTGCAGAAAGATGATGTCCTACTTTCAAGGTCGTAGGGCAATCATATAGGTAAGACTTCATTAAGAAAAAGGATTCTCGTCAGCTCTGAGGTACCGCATTTCGATGAGTAATCTGCTGTAGCAAATTAGAGAAATCGACATAGAAACCAGCAATGGACTCTCCTTTGTTATGTACTGCATTAAAATCGAATACACTATCTACAAATTCTTTATGGTGAAATCCCCGTTAAGAAAGCTCTATTTTTCTTGAAAATCACTCCTAAGCAAATTAGCCAAAATGGTAGCTTATCTCGAACAATTCTTCCTATGATTTGATACGGTGAGGGCAGTAGGCCAATCGGGCGAAACTCATTAATCAGAGTGTGAGATCACTCTTGGGCTTGGCAGTGACTAACAATAAGGCTTCTATCTAAAGGGCTACTTCAACCAGTAGCATTGAGCTGAAAATGTGAGCGAGTGGAGTAGCACATCCATGAACAACTTGAGGCATAAGGTTGAAAGTCTCAGTGGTAGAAGACTTTTTCATATAATAGTATATTCAGATTTCAAGTAGATGCTATTGCAGTATCGGCAAAGCGGCAATATTAAAATCAGCAAAGGCACTTCAAGATACATTTTCAACTTCAGTAGAAGGTACATTAGATGTTTTCTCCAAAAGCTTAAGCTTTCTCAGCAACACTCATGCAGTCATAAAAGCCTCTTGGAGTGTGAAGATGTGGATTTCATTTTACTCTGTTTTCGACTGCCAAAAAGAATATTCCAACCCTTCCCTCCTCCATGACCTAAAGGTAAACCAAAATTTTTACTGCTTAAATGACGACTGCAACAAAGTGCAGAAAGAGGCATAACAATTTTCATTCAGAACTCTGTGACAAAAATCAAAATTGCTTGGGTCTTTGCAAAGCAAAAATTCACAACGTTTAAGTTACGCAGATCCTGTCACAGCTATCAAAAATTATATGGTCTTTCTAATTTTTATCTTTTTTCTTTCCCTTTTTCAATCCTCCCCTTCCTGGTCGACCAAGAGTAGTCAGTTACAAGCGGCATACGATTGGCTTCAAAATAGCACAGCACTATTCTTTATCCTTCACTGTGTTAAACCCAAAACCCTTTTTTGAGGAATACTATCGCGTTTTCTATCATGGAAATGCGACAG